ATATCCCATTTCTGCCAATAGATCTTTCTAAAAGTTACACACTAGACCTTTAAACATCTTTTGTGGCATTTGTTTCACCTTGTCCCTGTGCTCCTCGGCACTCTGTAGCTCCCCCTGTAGTTTGGTAATGATGTCACAGAGCTCCTGTCGCTGCTCTGCAGACTCCCTGCGGTCCTGCTGCAGGATATCCATCAGAGCCTAGGGTAAACGTCAGAGAAAACATTTTTAGGACATAAGATGCTTTTAGAGACATCACTAGAAAATGTTAAAATCTTTGGCTTGAGGGACAAACTATGAGGAAAAAACAGCTATAAAGGTGCCTTCAGGTGATCAACACATACTATGACTCCAGTGGAAGGAACTGATTCCCTCATCTGAGTTCCTTTATTCCCGGCTTTCTGAACCTCAGCACAGTGCAGCGGCTTTTCTGGTAAGGCAGGTGGAGAACCATTTACTCCATTAGAGCTCAAACTGTTTCTTTTTGCCGGCGTAGTATTCTCTGTAGTATCGAGTTTCTCTCCCTCGGTCAGCCTGGCCCGTAGCTCCTCTACCTGTCAAGAAAGAACGAGCAAAGCAGCCATAAAAACATTTTAAAATGCAGGCTTTTACTTTTGCATACCAGTCATTCCTTATGCTGTTAAATGTAAAACATGTTTAACATGCAACAACATTGTTAATGGGCTATTTACCTACATTAATCATAAAAAATATGTATACATGAAACACATACAGGCTTTTTGTACTGTAACTGCCAATTGCCTGTCAGTGCAGGCCTACTTTGTAAAATATGTCGTACAAACACATATCTTCCAAACCTTTTTTCCAGGAATCAAGGAGTTGTCGGTAAATCAAAGGTAAACCTTTGTGTTTATTGAACACAATTACAAGACGTGCTAAATTCCTAGCAGGCACACTGCACGTACGGCAACAGGACCACAGTGGAAATCATTCTGTTGGTCATTAACATCACCATCTTTCAGGAAAAAATGAACACAAATATTTCCAGGTATTGTACCTCAGTGGTATGGTCGACATGTTGTGACAAGACACAAACTAAATCAAAGTGAGGCTGATAACAATCTACAGAGTTGGTAGGAACCAACAGCTGAAGCAGTTTCACCTGAACCACCGTGGGTAGTATTATATGCTCATTCAGTCAAGCAAAAAATAAATAAATTTAATACAATAAATTCTAAAAATACCCCTACCTGTTGCTACCTATGACTAAATTTAGCACAAACTATATCTTTGACTCTTCTGTTAAAGGTCCAGTGTGTAACATTCAGGAGCTATTGGCAGAAATGGAATATAATTTTCATAGCTGTTTTCATTAGTGTGTAATTACCTTATTATAGGAATTTTCATGTTTTTGTTACCTTAGAATGAACTGTTTTTATCTACAGACGCACAGGTCGCCTTTCAGTCTGCCATTAGGTTGACTTTGAACCACAATGTTTCTACTGTAGCCCAGAATGGACAAACCAAACACTTGCTCTGGATAGGGCCGTCCGTGTTTTTCACACATTTTGCAGCCACTGCACTTACTCCCTTTGTATGGAGAGGGACGGTGAAACACTAGATCCCACCTAATCCTACACACTGGTCCTTTAAATATATATTTGTGGCCCTAATGGAGCACCGAACATAGCTCCTTAATGTTAGAACAACAGGGAAGGAAGAAAAAACTTGTGGCAAACATGTGACAAGAAGATCACTATTATTAGCAAATTCACCATTTCTGCAGCAACCATACAGCTGCTTTCAGAGACAGGATCAGCTGAGGAATGTGGTGGTAGAAAGGGAATGACTCATCCTCTCATTTCACTCTTAACACTGAGGGGCCCCTGACTGCTTCAGAGGAGTTTCAGTCAAAGACTGTGGTTGTGTTAGACAACTATGTATGTTCAGTGAGTTTAAAAACCTGGATGTGGTGGAAAAAACATAATGGAATTCATACGCACAGTGTAGATAACATTTACATAATGTTGTTCCCAACCGACCTACCTGCCTCAGTAGCTCTCTCTCACGGGTGGAGGCCTTGCCTTGTTCCTCCAGGGCCCTGGAGTACTTCACAGCCTGCTCCAGGTGCCTGTCCTTCAGCTTGCCCAGCTCTCGACTGGCCGACTCCCAGTCCTGACGCAGCCTTGATATCACAAATAATCAAGGGCACACATTCTCTTACTTTTTCTCATTCAATTCATTTTTGTGCAATCACATTTAGTCAATTGTGGATTCATTGTAGTTTTAATTCACACACAGAAGCTTCATGAAGAAATATTATCATAAATCAGTAGATTCACACATGAGATAGGCCCTCTCTAATCTCTTCATCCACAAAAGTAAAAAATTTAAATGACAAAATCTCAAAAAGCAGCAGGTAATCATAACAAAAAAGACACATGTACCAATGTTATGTTTTGCCTCCCTCATCCCTGTTGTATCAGTCTGTATAAAACATCATAGACCAGCTGACCAGGTACATATTAGTACATTTGTAGGTTTTCACAGGCCTCTTTTCAAGCTATTTGAGGGGATGCCCAATATCTCAGACTTTAAAAATCACTGTATTAGAACTTTAATTAGTGATCGATTACTGTGTTAAGCTATCAACAAGAGAAATCAGCTGTCATTTAAAGTTTCCTCCATGACTCACCATTTACTCATGAATTACCCATGAATTAAGTTACCTCTGTGACAAGATTTCCTGCAGACTCAGAGGAACAAATTAACTGCTGAAGTGAGACGAACCTCTCTAGCTGCAGCCTGTCGTGGCGTAACTCCTGAGCTTTACGTTCGGCACGGCTGCGTTCCTCCTCTGCCATCCGGCAGCGCTGAGACAGGCGTCGCTCACACATACGGCTGTTTCGAAGTTGCTCCCTCAGTTTACGCACCTCCAGAAGCAGGAACTGGGTCAAACCCTCCGGACCTTCCTCATCTGGGGAGAAAAGACAGGTGGAGGTTAATGTGTGGAGAGGGTGAACTCACTCAGGAGACATCAGGGGTGTATGAATATGTGTCTTACTCCTGACAAGCATGCACTGAAATCTTGTGTGTGTACTTTATGAAAGCAGAGGTCAAATCTATCAAGAGAAACCAAATTATCATATTTGCTCTACATCTTAGTACTTCATTCCTTTAGATGCTCTTGAGCATCATAATAACAAAGATGTATGTGCTCAGCTGTGCAGAGAGTACTTATCTACTAGATAGCATTGAACACTTAAGTTTCAAGAGATTTTAAGTGCTTTTTAAGTGCTTGTACCTTAGGTCTGATTGCTGGCCATTACATTTTATTATTAACCTCAGTGAGTTTTTTTTAAAACATTGAATGTCTTTGCTCTTTGTGTCTTTACTATGTGCCGGTAAAGACCTTTTCACACAACCAAAGCTAAGTCCTTTTTTGAAGAACTAAACTTTGCATTTTGGGCACGAAACATTCATGACCAATTTCAATGTAGTGTCTAAAAATGAAACCACTAGCAAAATTATAGTTAGTATTTCCAGTGAAATCAAACCATTAATTATATTCACTGAAGTACTACGATAATGTGTCTATTTCCAATGAAATCAAGTTTATTTTCATTCAAACAGTATCCACAAAAAGTCTCATAGCACAGCAAGATATTTCCCTCTCTATTGTCTCTAAATCTAAACAATTCCTGACAAAATATTGAGGTTATTTACTCAAGAACACATCAAAAGGAGTGGGTCTTAAAGTGGGCCAACAGTTTGAACAATTTACAGGACCCATACAGTACATGTAATGTAAGTTTGGTTGATTTCTTTCAATACTGAAGTCAATTTAAGGTTTGAGTCTAACTCCAAATTGTGACATGTGGCGAGTCCACACATCTGCAGTCCTCGACATGCAGTGAAATCCCTGCTTACCCAGTATGAGGGAGCATCGCTGTGTGGGCTGTTCTCCAGTCAGCTGTGTGTACTGCTCTGGGTGGTAAAACTCCAGCGATTCCATGAAGGCTTGAAGACCTCGCTGGCCCTGACCACGCAGAATGTCCAGCAAACGACCTGGTCAACAAAATGGAAAAATAAAAGTCTGAAAAACTGTAACAATGTAGAATTGACTGTCCTAAACACAGACTTCAACACAGGGGCGTTTTTAGACGTTTTTGACTGGGGTGGCACAAGTGGGGCTCTGACTCATGCAGGTGTGACATGAAGTATGTGTCTCAGCTTTCCAGTCATTCCCAATTTATGCAATTCCAACACAATTATGGAACCCAGTATGCAGGAATATTTAAATACACTAGGCAAAAAACAACACATTTATACCACATCCAAAAGACTGGTTGCATGGTTTTTGCCTAAAACTGCACGGGATTACCATAAAGTCGGCATGTTTGTAAATGGGAGACGTGTGGGTACCCATAGAACCTATTTTCATACAAACATTTTTTTGTTGCCAAAGATTAGCCTAATTTTGGAGCATTATTTAGCCCCCTTTCCTCACATGCTAACACGGCTTGGTTGGTAACAATGGATGCATTAGGTCATCTAGTTTCATATGATACCAGTGTCTTCACTCTAGCTTTAAAACAGTGTGGAGTGGTAGACGTTAGGATAATGGGGTTGCACTTTGGGTGGCCAATTAGATTTCAGGGGTGGCCAGCAACACCGCAGAACGGCCCCCTGGAAACGCCCCTCCTTTAACAGTGACAATGTTGAATAAATTAAAATTTATCAGCATTTTGGTCGTGTAAACTATCCCAGTTGAAACAGTCTAACCATGAAAATGTTACCTCTTTGATGTGTCATTCAGTCCTGTAGTTACATAGGTATTTAAAACAAGACTATAATGAATGTCTGGCTCTAGGATGAGCTAACTGATTGGCAATGAAACAACTGTGATATGAACTGGGTGCTCAGCCTTTATCCCGTCTTTACTTGCGGCATCTCCCTTCATCTTTATCTTCTTTCACTCCTCATTCTTCTCTGCCAGCCTTACACTCCTCTTTACTTAGCATTGTCTTTCATCACCTTGGTTCCTGCCTGTTTCTCTCACTGCAACATTTATCTTCACCCACCTGTTCCTCTCTGACAACCTGTTGCACAATCATTAACACACAATGTTTCTTCTTTGGGAATTTTTTGCTTGGCCATTAAAATATGGGTAAGGGTTAGGTTTCTGGAAGGATATGTTAGACGCCCTTAGTGAAGTGTTTCACCAAGATATCTCCAGAGATCCAAAGGTGGTCGCCCCTGAAGGCTTTGAGGAGAACCAAAATGTATTTGTTATACTTTTGGGGGCTGCAAATAAATGTATCACAGTAACACCTGATGCTCCAACATACAACATCTGGATTAAAAAACAATATGGGAACTGAATTTGAAAAGAGGTGGAGCCCTGCAATAAGTATATTAATGCAATAAGGGAATACTTAAATTCCAATAACCAACCTGTCCCTTTCATCCCATACCTCATAGTATCTTTGCCTCAACTTTGATGGATTACCTATCACAAATGTTACATAAAAATGATTCAACTTGATGATTTTGCATGAGTTGTTGAATTTATCTGTATGGCTGGTGTTACTTTGTTGCTTTTCAAATGAAATGTTACTCCTCTCACCGGCCTTGCTGATGCGCAGTGGGTACTGTGTGGAGTTGAGCACCTCGTCCTCATCCTGCTCATCGATGACCTTGCACTGGCGAAGGTACGGGGTGAGTTTGGCCGGGTTGAGGATGCGTGTGAGCTTGTGCCGGACCCCCTCCACGCGATCCCAAAGCTCCTCACAGTGCTCCTCCGACCAGGGGGAAGAAGATCGCACCTCCTCCTGAGCTATGTCCGCCTCCTCTGCCCAAACTGTGACACCTAAAAGAGAATTTAGTAGTTGCAGTTCAGTAAGTAGTGAAGGAAGACAGCACTGACAGAGAAACTGCTTTTTAAAAAGCATCTTGCGGTAATAGACTCCACAAATGTTTTGTTCTTTTGGACCTTACTGGCCAGATTTACTGGGGTATCTAATGTCCGGTCCTACACAAAATACTACTTCCCATGGAGAATTCCATTGGAGTTTGTTTATGTCTGACTACGCTTATCTGTATCTCTGCAACTCTCAGCCATGAGCCATTACTTTATGTAACAACTATGATTTCTAAACAATCACAGTTTGTCTGCTTTTCAACGCAAAGATGGGACACCAGAAGCAAACATATGAGGCACCTTTGTGAAATTGTTTATAATTACTCTAATTTCAGCCTTGATTAAAATCCTCTTTGTCCAACCAGAATGAATGGGCATATAATAGAAGCCATTAAGGATGCATATATGATTCCTGGGTTTATCTGCTGCATAGTTAAAGAATGAGAGATGTGAAATCCTTAGGGGAATGCTGAGGGGGACTTACTCCCTACAAAATACGAGTCTAACAGATGAACCATTAACTTGAAGCCATTAGCCATGCGGACCAAAAGAGGACGCCTTGATAAGGTGAAAGCCAATAACTGTTTGCATCACTGAACAAGAGCTCATATTTCATACACAGTGTGAGTTAATATAACAGCAGCAGTGGGTTTATAGACTGTTTAACTCCTATAGAGCAAAGGGTATGCTGTTCTGAGGGTCATAAACTATAGTGGGCACTTTGTGGATCTGTGTCTCAGAGTGCAAGAATGAAAATACTGGCGTGACTCATATTGTACACCTAAAAACACACCAGGGGACCGCAGACAAAGGCTTTCTCAGCCACATTCACTTCACACTGTGAAGGAAATAAGGAGAGAAAGTGAGTAAATCTAACTCCGGGAGTTCGCTGAAAAACAGTTAAATATATGCTTTTTTTTCTTAATGATCTACCCGTAATGATAAAGCTTTTACCAGCCTTTCAAGTCCAGAGAGACATTGCTGAACACGGCGTACTATAACAACACAGGCCCTCCATAGCTGTGCTGGACTACAGGCAAAATCCCATGTCTCATTCCTGTTGGTTTAACAAATGTAGTGAGTGCTTTATAATCACAGAGAGGTCCAAGTCACCAGCTTCTCTCTCATCTCACTGCAGTCTGAAACACAATGCAGCATGCCTTTCACTTTTTATGTTGCTTTGGAGGTTTTTGCCTGCTGAGATTTTAAGAAATAAATGATAGTAATAAACCTACAGACCAAGCAATCTTGAAAATGACCCTATCAGTGTCTCACACTGTTGTTACCCATCCAAGTTATTTACTCATAACGAGAGTAAGGTGCCTGCCGCTCTGTGCAGCTGATAGAGGCAGGCTGAGGCAGGCCTGGATGGCCTGGAATGTTTGTCATCACCCATAAACAGTCTATTGAGACGTTGTTCTTGTGTGATTACTACTTAAATCCTCCTTCCTACACTAATAGAAAACACTTATTAGCTGCAGAACACTAGCTACTCTTCCTGGGGTCCACACAAAACATTAAAAAAAACAGATAAGACACAAAACACCACATATTAACATCTGAAAAATGTGTATACACATTCTTTCAAAAGCACTGAATGTACATACAAAGTGAAATCTGACAATGTATTTATATACATATTGTTATACCTGATACATAGCACTACGGTTCAGTGACAACTGTTAAATATAGATATGCTTTCCATTAAAAAAAAAAAAAACATTAAAAACAAATAGGTGACACAAAATGACCCAAGTTATCTACTAATAAGATAATATATTCCAACAAGAATACTGTAGGCATATAATCAATTTGTTTCCTTTTTATCTGATCTTTTATCCCTCAAAAAGTTACACAAAAAAAGTTTTTGAATAAATATGAGCTTCAGTGTTATAATTAACCTGAGTGAAAATAAAGTGTTATATATACAGTTTGCAAAACTACCAGGAATTCAGATTATTGTGTTTACTGTTTTGAGAAAAATAGCTTCTGTTTTGGAGAAATGTGTCAAATCAGCTGAGAACTGAAGGTAACTTCACTCAGCCATACATAATATGAATATAATTAATAATGTATATTTCACAAACTGGCACTGGATGCTTTATATGTAGGAGACAAAAAGTTAAATCCAGTGGACACATGCTCTACACTGGACACAGTATTACAGACCCACACATATGAGGGTTGTACATAATGTGGCAGGTTATTGTATGAAGTTAAAGTTTTCATACCTGTGCTTCAGGCAGAGTAGTATAACCCTGAAAATTGCTAGTCTGTCAATGATCTCCTAGAGGTACAAACACACAGAGAAAGAGTAAACAGCGCCCTGACAGGTGAAGTCCTAAACCCTGACTTACCGCTCATGTCTTGAACTGCTTGAATCTGCTCTGAAGATGAGGCCAAGTAAAGCGGAGCGTAATCAAGTCCTTTACATCCCATTCAGGTCCAGAGACGAGTCATTCAGGAATGAAACTGAGCAGTGAGGTCAGGGTGTGTGGGCGCCACCTGACTGGAGAGTGGCGGAACGCATAGGTCCTCCTTTTTACGCACACCTTGGCGCACTCAGCTCCTCCACCCTCGGTCAACCACAGCCAGCCAATCAGCAGCCAAGAAGAAAGGAAAAAAAATCCTACTTATCACCACATCAGGGCGGATTTCCTTCCTTTATCAGGTCTATTCACTGGTCAGGAAAGATTGGACAGAAAGCGATCCGTGTAAACTGTCTAGTGTGTAGTAGAGTCTTTATAGCACAAGGTGGCGCTTTGAACCAATGGTGATCCACTCCTACTGTAAAGCTTTCGCCTATAAGCACCACGTTATAGTAGTAATACTGTTAATATCGCAATATATTTTAAGCGGAGAGAATCCTCCTTCGGCTCGGACACGACTGTTTCGCTGAACTGTGAGCGTTGTCACATTTTGGCTTGTCACAGAGAATATGACTCATTAACACTGAGTCACTTTTCAGGTGCTTCACTGCAATCAGGAGCGAAAATAGCTTCAGACCTTGTAAAAGTACAGGAGAGGCAGTTTGGTGTTGTGCCCTGGAGGAGAGCAGGTTAATCACCAGCGCTGCCAAGGGAAACCTGACTGCTGTGATACATAAAAACACAATGACACACAGTTTCATCCTTACTGTCTTTTATGCTTGTAGATATGCTTATGCTGGCTCTAGCACTACACTCAGAATCACTGTAATTAATGGAGTATTAAATAAGTGGTGCAGCTGACTCATACCTTTGAGTATCACTAATAACTTGTCAGTGCTTCATAATGCCTTTAGCTTGGGGATGACAACAGGAAGTGATGAAACAGCCAAAACAAGTAAAGGGAAGTGCCAAAAGGGAATTATGCAAATTAGATGACTGCATGTCATCAAAATAACTGAACAGCAGGTAAAAGACTTCTAAAAGGCGTGTTTGTATCACAATTCAAACGTATATTTAGATGTGCATAATGTAACCAAGTCCTTGGTTTATGAAAATACGTACATAATTGCCTCTTCAAGGCAGCTGGGGAAACTCTTCAGTGTGGGGGACGAGACCGGGCAGAGGGTGCGGCGTGAAATGTGTCTTTCAGTTACAGTACGATCGCAGACAGGAAATATAGGGTGCCTGGCAGAGGAATGTGTCTTTTTCTTGGCATGTGGACAGGAAATGTCAGGCTGCCCTCCATCTCTGGGCCTCCCCTGAATAAACAGGCCTCCTGTTTGGGGGCTCACTGCTGTTGCTGAGTGACAGTGCAGGTACATGCACACAGAGGGTGTAAAGGGATATTACATTATGCGCTGATATCTCCTCAAACACTACAGGAAGTGCAATTAGGTGAGGGCGCTCTAGAAGTTGCTTGTGCAGAAATACACACAGACTTTGCATCAGCCTTGACCACACTTAGTTTGTGGTAAGCTGTACAAAAATAACATTGGTGACAACATTTGACATTATACACTCACTGAAGGATCTGTAGTATACATGTGGCACTACAAGCTGAGCAGTATTGATTGTATTAACAGTGTGTGGGGAGGTGATATGATTTTATTAACTTGTATCTGCTAAATAAGAGAATTTACAGACAGGAAGTTCCTCCTTGTGTCTTTATCTTTTCTTGTGCTGTATCATCATTGTTTCATCATTGCTCTCTCTTTGGCTCCATCTTTGTTCCCACGAACTCACACCTCCTCTCTGGCTGTCGTTCTTTTATAGCTCCCTCTTGCCCACCGTTTTCTTCTCTCTGTTCTTCTTGTCATTTACTCTAAGCCTCTTCCTCTGACAGACCAATCCATCCTCCAACAGTACGTCTTGGTCTGCCGAGGGAGGGAGGGTTGCAGTGGATGAGCATTCCTGTTGTCTCTGAGGTGACAGCGGCACAGAAGAGCCATTGACGGCAGCACTGGACCCCACAGTTTGCTCATGCTGGAATGTGCGATATCGTGACAGTTCAGACCCACAGAAACAGACAGTGCAGAAGTCATTTTTAGATTTTCAAGTTGATGTGTTTCTCCTGCACGTGCTGCTTCACTGTCTTTTTGAAAAGCAGCTGCTATTAAGTTTGACCTGCAGCTTCAAAGTAAAGGAAACTGGGTGGGACTGATAACCATCACTGCTGCATTTTGTGGAAGAAGCAAGTTTCTTTAGCTTTTCATATCTATTGCTGCTAGGGGCTGTGGCCCCGTGTGCAAAAGGTTTCAGCTCAGGATGAAATCAGACATCTGAATAAATTTAAATAGAACTTTATGTACACCTCTTCAACCCTCACTGGAAAAAGCCACACCGATGTATATCTATGTTTTCTGTCGTCATCAGCCGTCATGTTTTAGCTTCTTTGATGACAAGTTTTCACGCTCCCTTGGCTCTTCTTGTGCTAAATAAAAAGTGTGGTCCTCCATTTGTCCAAATTTCAGTTCTCAAACTTATAATAAAACACAATATTGTGAGCCAGGACCAGCACACACTTTTCTTCTTCTTGTACACTTTTTTCTTGTACCTGTTCAACATATTGGCAAAAACAGGCACTGTAGAGTCGTTTGTCCGTTCTGGGCTACTGTAGCAACATGGCGGCTTCCGTGGCTCATTATAAGATAATAAAAATGTAACGGTTCATTCTTTAAAGTCTTTATGCACTACTGAAAACGTATGGATATTCTTTTGCTTTTCTGTCAATAGATCCTCCTAAACATTACACACCAGACCTTTAAACAGCACCAGTGTCTGTGTGTTTCATTTCTATGTTTGTTCCACTCTGATCCTGCCCAGAACACAACAGGCCCAGCTCTTCACCCAGCAGCTGACCCCCGTCGCTCCATCTATGACTCAAGCCCGACGGCTGCACAGAATTGCCCCTTTGTGTCTTTGAAGAATGTGTCTTTTCTGGCTTTTTTTTTTTGGAAAACAGAGGCCGAGAAAGAGAGGGATGGGGGCATGAGTAATTGAGCCAGATTTGAATCTTGACATGTGATTTATGCTCACTTCGTAGGCAGCATTATGTGACACTAGCTTTCACTATTGATCAGGCTGATGGTGCAGAAGTGACATTATAAGTGAGAAATGAATAATTGACACTAGTGAAACATACGTGTTTCTACTCTCCGCTTGTAAAGAGGAAGATATATAAGGGCACAGTGCTGCGTTGATAAATTTGACCAAGAAAGCCACTTGAGGTCTATGCAGTTAAAGTGTCCTCTTATTCTCAGCTCTGTCATATATGGCAGCACCAGTATAGCTTAATGAGATCTTGTAAACATCCCAGAGTATTACCATGCAATTTCCTGTTTAACATGGAATCAACATCAATAACACCAGGGGGTCAGAGTGAAGGAAGGAATTCTTATTGAAGCAAACAAAAAGCTTGGACAAACAATGAGTGGGACAATAATATTGAAAGATTTAAACCAGAGGCCACTTTTTGGGAGTATTTATTTGTCATTGAATAAACATGAAAAACTAATTTATGATTTCTAATAATGTAATTTATGAATAATTTTTGTTTTTCTCACATGGAGACGATGTGGCTGAAGTCCAACCTCACAGATCCTCATCTGGACAAACTCGGACAAGTCATCTTTCAATCAGGACACAATCAAAGAGCAAGTGCACATACATTTACATAAGTTTTTAACGCATCTATCTCTTGGCCATAGCCCTTATAATGAAAGAAGTTGCGGAATGTCTTTGGTTTAGAGCTAGGACTGCATAATACAATCACTTTTTCTGTTTTAAACCAGATAGTGCTTTATAGAGTTGTGTGAAGTAAAAATCTAAACTATGAAACTACAAAAAGGCATTTTACCATTATTTCAATGGTAAATAATTATTACATAATATATATTATATGCTAATGTTGCCCAACGTGCCCTGGATGTCAGTATCCACCAGTCTACCTAGGAAATATGTTTTGGTCATGCCAGTCTTTATCCAATCTATCTTATCTTTTGGAATTCTGTTTTTCAATCAGCAATGGGTGGTGAAACAGTTACTCCTAACCCTTTAAACCTGTTGTACTCATGTCTTTATCACCTCTCAGACAGATTTCTGTACTTTTCTGATGGAAAACTTGTTGTATTGTGTACTTGTGTGCAAGTAAAAAAGCCATTTTAGCCCAGATGCCAGAGTAACCCTCCCTCAGCTCCATAGTAGTTGCCCATTTTTCTACACTATGACAAACCTATGTAAACCTGAGTATGACCTACGAAATGCCTGTTGATCCACTCATTATACTGCCTAGAGTGTCTTTTTCTACATGCTCGCAGACAAATGTGCACACACACAGGCATGGCTTCGCGGTGCCAGTGAAATCTAACGCGTCGGCCCGCTCCCCTTCCTGTCACTCTCCTTTCCGAGCCAGTGAGGTTTGAGTTGACGTTTGAATTACAGGGTGTTACATAGCTGTCTAAATCTGAGTTCCACCACACATTTGAACTGCAGACATAGACAACTTTAACAACCACTGCACATCAATTTTCCAGATACACAAACAGTTTTAAAAATGCAACTATTGCTAACCACATGCTAAAAGTTGCCTCAGAACAGGAACAGGGTAACATATAGTAATAGAGCAGTCACGACAAGCGCTACACTTTTGGCATCAACAGTCCGTACGTCTGTCTGAGTATTTATGTGTGTGTATTTATACACGTATTGGATTGTAAGTGGGTGTAATGCTCCTGCTTCTTTTTGCACTTATGTATGATGCCTAAACGGACCAGCTTGGAGATGACGTCCAGGGATCACTGTTCTCAGCATGCCTCACCGTCTGCTGGATCACATTTCCCTGGTTTTAGGGATTCCCTTTTTAACTGACATCAACAAAACAAACACCAGGAAGAAAACCTCCTGGGAATGATAACAATAAAGCGAGAGAGTGGCAGTGTGGTTAAGACGCTTATGTTCTATTTCAAGCTCCACACAACAATGCTTGTCTGTAATCGCACAAACAGAATATTTTCAGGGTCATCTAACAGAGACAGATATCAACAATAGCACTGAGATGCGAGAATACAGGAAGCCATTTAGTTTCCTAATAAACCCCTGACAATATCTGGTCTCTGTTCATCTCCAGCTGTATCAGCGTCTGTGTGCACACTCTAACCATGAATACAGTACGTCTGGAAGTACAATGGCTGGTTTCAATGCTCTCCAGCTCTCCCAGACACCGTCATCTGCCTACAGGGACGAGGGAGTACGCCTTGCAGAGTCCTTCTCTTGGCTCCTAGCTGTTCACTGTGGTCTGCGTTTGAGAAAAGTCAAACTGATCGCTGAAAAATATGAGTAGAAGACTTTCACATCACTATAGTGACCCCTTAACACTGTCTGGCACCCTTATGGGGGTGGTTCACACAGTGGTTAAGAGCCTCTGCTCAAGGATGAGTAATAGGAATAACATGATAAAATATACCTGCAAAAAACCCATATGTACATCATTATGGAAAGCGTGGTTAGAAAGTGAGACTGAGGGTCAGAAGGTTGTTATAGCCTTCTGATCTGAGCTATCTGAGTAACTATAATGCTGGATCTGAAATCATCACCCGATTCATTCACTGTATAATAGACACTCAGTAGTTAAATATATAGTGAAATTTTGATTTTAGACTTAAATTTTGGACACAGGTTTAGTGTCCAACAACTATAGTTTTGCATCAATACAATGTGATGCATTAATGTGGGATTGTAAGCAGAAAGTAGTGTGGCCTACATACCATGGGTGCTACTGCTGCTGCTTTTTTTTCCAACTTTCTGAAGACACTATATTGTGCATACATTTTAAACACAGAATTAAAACACTCAAATTAAAATGGCGGCCATTATCTCATTATTAATCTCCAGATTAGGTACTCTTCTTTTCAGAGACAAATGCATGATCCCTCAACAGCTTCCCAACTGCAAACCCTGCCAATGGTGTTTAATGGGTAATCCTCAGCTCCCTAGGCTTAAAAAGTGGCTCTGGTAGGTTTAAAGCTCTCTTCTTTGCGGAGGACCGCACCTGTAGTCAAATTGGATTCCCATTGTTCCATATGTTCAGTATGCTCCAGACAATCTCTTATAATCACTAATTATAATGTATTGCAAAAAAATGAATATATTGAAACATATGATTGTTTGGGGGTTGGGGGGATTTTCCATTTTCTTCATTTTTCAGTTTTATAACAATGACACGATTTTCAACTCCTGAAAAACATTATATATATTCAAGTTAACTTTATGGTATTCTATCACAATTAACTGAAACCACCCAGTAAACCTATCCTCATGCACATATATTTAGTAAACATTTTAACATACTCAACATCAATTGCTTTGAAGTGGATTACAGTATGTTGCAGGAATGGTTTGAGATGCTCTTGTGGAGGCTGACTTCCTGAGAAATAGTCAAAAAGGACTAACCACTGTGCAGGGCTGTTGAGGTGCCATGTTCTATTCTTGACCTTTTCTAAAAAATATCTGACTTCTAAATTTAGACCAGGTTTCGAGATACAAAGGTGAACAGTTTCTGTTCAGGGACGGTCAGAACTAAGTATTTCAGTATGTGTCTGTCTGTTCATTGCCTGTTTTTTTTAAGCCTAGAAAGCAGTAGAGCAGGACTGACATCACAATGCTCTATTGTCTCTGGGCCAACACTCAGCTTCCTGGTGGGTCAGAATCCACGGAAACAGGAGCAGAATCCAAACAAAGACACAGGAGTCGACTTCTTTCATGTACCCCTTAACCCAGCCCTCCATATATCAACCTCATCACCCTCGCACACACACTTCAACTTCAACTTCAACAATGTTCTCCAAATGCACATCTGGGTTTTATGAGAACAGGGGTATAACCTGGATCTGTTCTCCAGAGCAGGAGCCAGAGTCACAAAATAAATACAAAAAAAAATTCATCCAGACTGACGGACACCCACAATGCAGAGTGACGCTCTGGGTGAAGTGGAATCCCCCTTACACTTACTCATACCTGTTCAAATGTCTTTTTACTGGATGAATCGATTGTCTGAGTGACAGCAATGAACTGCTGAATACTAAATGAGTTTCAGCGTCTGAGAAGAGTTGAAGTTTCTTGGCTGCCTCTCTGATTGTGAGTAAGTCATTTCCTGTGAAGAAAAATGTTTTCTCATCCTGTTAGACTAGCACTCCTTCCTCCCTACCTCCGTCTCTTTCCTCCTGCCCATGAGCTTCAGGTCAGTTTGTGCTCTTTTATCCAAGTTTGATCTGTTGAACCTCAATGTATAAATAAAGAAAATGTCACAATTCTTTACAGAGACAGCAACATTTTCAACATAATAGTTTAGGGTGTCGGGTTCCCTGTCATTGCTCTCTCTTTTATCACTCCTTTGGTCTTCTGGTTTTCTTTTCCTCGCCCTCACATTTACTGCTCATCAGAAAGCGTCTGATACTTTGCAGCTGTTGTCAACAGGAGCTGCTCGCCCTCCCAGATTCTCAGTGAAGATGATCCCACCATTTCTCATGTCTGTTCTCAAGGTCCACCCCACCTCCATTCACATCTCCTTCTCTTCAATCACCTCCCTTTCCCCCTTTACTCAGAGCTGACAGCCTTTTCTCCTCACCCCTTCTCTCCTGTGTCCACCCTGCTCCCTTATCTCTCTCTTTTATCACACCCGTTAGTCAATTCAGCGTTTCCCGTGTTTCCAAGTTCTCCCACACATCTCGGGATATTAATTTCAAGGTAGCAAATAGATTTCAATTTAACCAAATAACCAACATCATTCATAAATGTGTGAAGGGTAGGAGATAGACTGCTGTGAGCTCTCCACAAAGATGTGCATCATCAGTGGTAATACTCTAAAAATGCCTCTGAAAATCAGATGAAATGCCCTTTGAAATGTCTTATCCTGCAGTACACACATGCATACACACTCTCTCTCACACACATACTATTGTTGCATGCCCAGCTAAAAAGTTGGTGGTGAGTGAGAGGAAGAAGTGTCACAGAAAGAAGAAAGGTTGATGGCACTCGTGGGAACTCTTAAGAGATCATGTTTACAGAGCTGAGCAAAGGTCAGGGATAATATCTGTGTGTGTGTGTGATTCATTAGGTTTGCTCCATATCTCATCTTAAACTTTTGATTAAATATCCAAGTTATTGCAGCCTATTCCTAATTTGAAGTTGGTTTATGTGTCAAACATTTGTCTAAGGCAATGCCAGACAGAGAGGATCCAAGGTTAAGGCCTGATAATTTCAAGCATTAGGAGGTTCCTCTCTCTCTGTCTCTTTCT